CCATTGATAATCTATTTCTCCTCATTCAGAAGCACTGTTATTATTTACCAGGATTATGCTAAATAGGCTCCTAATTGGTCTTCATCCTTCTACTCTTATTTTCCTTCAGTCTCTCCTTAAAAGCCAGAGTGATTGATCCTGTTAAAACATGCATCAGACCATGTCTTTCTTCTGTTCAAAACCTTAAATGACTCTTCATTCCACTAGAAGACATTAGAGTAACCTAAATTGTCCCCTGGGGCTTCCCAGGTGGTTCAGTGATAAAGAATTCACCTGCCGGACATGGGTTAGATCCCTGGGTCAGGAAGGTTCCCTGGAGAAGGAAATGGAAACCCATGCCAATATTCTTTCCTGGAAAATCCCATGGACAGAGGAGCATGTCAGGCTACAGTCCGTGGGGTCTCAAGAGTTGGACACTAATTATCGATTAAACAGCAGTGACAAATTGTCCCCTAGCTCCAATCTTTTAATCCTGTAATCCATGAACTCCTTACCAAAGGACTGGGCCTGACCTCCTTTCAGCCACACCCTGATATTTGATCCCACTTTCTAGGGATACTCCCACTTTAGGGCTTTAGCTGTAGTTATAGCAAAGTTTGAACTTTGCCTGAACTTTGCCCAGAATTTGCTCTTGACTAGCTTATTAACCCCTTTCAAGTCATTATTCAATAGTTCACCTTCTCAAAGAGACCTACTATGACCTTTACCAAATATTTTAATTCCCTATATCCTGCCCCAGCCTTCAGACTTCACCGTCACTTATCTTCTAATCTACTAAATATTGCCTTATTATTTTTTACTTTTATGGTTTATTATCTTTCACCATTAGACTATAAGCTCCATGAGATCCATAATATCTTTTATTTGTTCACTGTTGTATCTCAATCACCTAGACCATTACCAGGCACATAGTAAGTGCTCAGCAAATGTTCATTGCACTAAATTGTGAACAATTTGAATTGATTTGCCATTTTAACTCTCAAAATATGGACAAATTAACAAAAGATTAAAAGTAAGTAAAAATGCTGAACAGTTTTACTATGGATAAAGAAAAACACTCTAGCTTCAGGGTCCTTGTTTTCTTTCAAAACAAGAACCTGCTAGAGCATATTAAGAAATGGGGACATGATTTATTCATTACCCTTTGTAGCATCTTGACTGAGAAAATTAAATTGTTTTGTAGATTCCTGATACACCCTGGGACCTCTTCAATGTCTTCACTGTTCTTCCCTTGTTAATTTTTCTTGTTTTCTTTAAAGGACTATAGGCAAGTAAGCAATATTCTGCTCCTTTGGCAAATAATTGATCACTTGGCCTCTTGAACTCCTCTGCAGAGTGTGTCTCCACAGGTTTACTTAGCATCCTGAATGACATTATGGAATTGGAGAGTGATTTCTTACTGGAAACCCTGCAAAAGAAATAAGGGTATAATGCTTCTTATTTTGGCCACAATGCAAGATGAAACAGATGACCAGCAAAAGACACTTTCCAACATCACTTTTTAAAAATGTATTTTACTGATCTTCCTTGTCTCAGTGGGAAAGATGCTCATGAACTCACCCTTCCTGTTGATATTCATATTGGCATTAATATCAAATCACAGATTTGAAGGTGAAAGGCACATTAGTAGATTTTTTAAATTATTGAGCTATAATTTACATATAACACTATGTTAGTTTCAAGTGTACAACATAATGGCTTGACATATGTGTATATAATGTAATGTGATTACTACAATAAGCAAATTCACTGCTAAATATGTCTTTTTTTTTAACCTCTGTACTTTTTGTGCTTCGTCTTAGAATTCTTAACAGTGTAGTTAGATTTCACATTATAATGAAAATTATACTTAAATACCATCTTATGTTGAAATATTTCCCATCTAGATATTGCTTTTCATCATATTTTTCATTAAACAAAATTCTAAGTATTGAACCTATACAGGTTGGCCTTTGGAGATCTCATAATAAGTTATAGTAACATAAGCCATGATGATAATGAAAAAAAGAAGAAAAGACACATTAGTCTCTAATTTTTAAATGACAAAGTAGTTTATAAAGCTCAAAATCAAATTGTCTTGTACTTAATATTAGGTAAGCCCTATTGAAACATCCTAAATCAAACCTTTTCTAAAATATCTTTATAATGAAAAATTGTGTATAATGAAATATTTCCAAACTGTAGTTTGTGATCTAATAATTTTAAACAGTAATATCTAATACAACCAGATTCTAGACCAAGAGGTAACAACATTTGTTGCCTCGTTTTGTAAATAAAAATTTGAGGAACATATGTTTGTTCATTTTTTGGTGTGTTATCTGTTAACTGCTTTTGTGCTACAACAGCTGAGTTTAATAGCTATGACAGAGATTATATGGCCTGCAAACCTAAAGTATATACTTTCTGGCCCTTTATAGAAAGAAAAAAATGCTGACCCCCTGTTCTAGACAAATAAAAAATTGGGGCAGTTCTTTATATTTCATTACACTGAAGTTAACCTCATGTTCTTGTCTATCATTTAAGAGGGAGGGAGAACTTGGAAAAATTTCAGAGCTTTCTGGCTGTGAGTTGTTAGTACAAATTGACCAGAAAAAGACAGAATATTGGCCCCATTGGCTGCTCAGGCTGGCCACACACATATCCTCATATTATCCCTCTTTTCACTACTAAGTTCTCCTCACTAAGTGTCTGGGACTTAAGTCATCTTTGAGTTCTTACCATCAACAGAAATGTTGATCCTTCTATCATGACCTTTGACTTTACCTTCTCTCCTAAACTGACCTTCCTTCTTTAGATTGTGATTGGGTACACTTGCGGGTTTGGCCTGGATGCCTTCTGTGATTCTTTGATTTACTTTGACCTCCACGGCTGGGTGCCGAGATTCTGGCTCTCGGTTTTTACTCTCAAGCCTTAAGCTTCAATGACTAGTTCAACTTCTGATTTTTAGATTCTCATCTCAGACTACCACTCCTGTTCTGTTCCCTGACCACACAAGAGACAGTGAGTAATAAAGGACCTAGAGAGCATTTTAGTATATTCAACAGGTCATTAGAGGAAAATCATAGGAACCAGAATTACTTAATCTTAAGGGGAAAGAGCAAACATAAAATTAAATTCTGAAAGTTCACAATGATGTGCCATATGGAGAAAGAGAATCAGTCATTTCATATAATCCCAGAGAGATGGATTTGAACAAACTTGATACACATGAGGACTGGGATAAAACAATGTGAAAAAAGTGGCCAACAATCACAAATTTTTGAGGTGTATAAACAAGGTAAATCCCAATATCTTGGGATGTTCAGTAGTTACATAAGCTTAAAATCAGGGGACAATGTTGATGGCCTATAAAATTTCCTTGAATTTTACGATTAAAGCAACAGCTCTCCTGTTATTTTACTGAGAAAAGATCAGAAACAGCAAAAAAGCTATATTCCACAATATTTGAAAGAAACAACTACCATGAAAAAAATACTGTTTTATAAGCAAACTCTTTTGTCTTTTCCTTTAGATTATCTAATCTTAAGTTTACACTAAGAAAGGAATTTTTTTTTTTACTCTCCAATAATAAAATTAATTTTCTATAATCCTAAGTGTGTTTGTGCTGTGCTAAGTCACTTCAGTTGTGTCCAACTCTCTGGGACCCTATGGAACATAGCCCACCAGGCTCCTCTTCAATGGAATTCTCCAAGACAAATCCTGGAGTGGGTTGCCGTTTCCTCCTCCAGGGGATCTTCCTGACTCAGGGATCAAACTCGCATCCCCTGCTTTGGAAGGTGAGTTCTTTACCACTAGTGCCTTAAGTGTGTTTATGATTTTAATATTTTACTGTCTAGAGTTTAATCCATTTGAGATTTATTTTTCTTTCTCAAGAATTTGCTAGCTTGTCTGATTCCTTTATTTAATACCCCATTCTTGTTTACTGATTTTAAGTACTGACCTCAGAGTATTTCTAATTCCCTGTACAATTCGTGGACTCTACACAGATCCACTGGTCTGTTGGAAACATTATTATGTCAAAAATACTCAGTTTACATTTTGAGATACTATATTTTACTATTATACAGGTTTTCTTCACTCATTGTTTTGCTCAAAAAAAAAAAAAAATCCTGGTTATTGTCCTACTTATATTCTTGCTGATTAACTTATAATATATGTAGTTCAATTTTGTGGGGTTTCCCTGGTGGCTCAGATGGTAAGGAATCTGCCTGAAATTCTGTAGACTTGGGTTCTATCCCTGGTTTGGGAAGATTACCTGGAGAAGGGAATGGCTATCAATTCCAGTATTCTTGCCTGGAGAATTCCATGGACAGAGGAGTCTCGCAAGGTAATATACATACATATCTTATGTTCACATTGCATACAGTGTTTATAGGTGCTCAGAAAAAAATCTTGTAGGCAAATATTAAACTGATAATGTTGGCTTTTTCAAGGAAGAGGAGAGGGTAATGGTCACAAAATGGAAGAGTCATGATTACTGGGATGATGAGGACAATTGTCTTCCTCATACTTGGATGATGGGGAGAGCATTTTAGGAGCAGGTACTTGTACAGAATTTGAAGACACATGGAAATGAGTGATATGAAGAAAAAAAGCAGAAGTTTTGAGCTAGAAGAAAAAAAACTAATCAAGGTGATAAGTCTTCAGGGAAATGCTATTCAGGATGATTTAAATTCTGGGGAATATCTAAAGCTTTGGTTGAATGCTTAGGCAAGAGTCACAGTATCAAGGACAATCATGCCTAAATTAGGAGCTTGAATTTTTTGTTATAATTTGGATAAATCACTGAAAAATTTTAAACAAGGTATTGTCATAATCAAATTTTAATCTTTAAAATGTCATTCTGATGTCTAGATGGAGGTTTGAATGGGGTATCTAGGACATTATGTAGATGGTTACTGCAATAATCCATGTATAGATCATAACATTGGTCATCATGCAGCCTAGTCTCTTTGTGATGTCATAGTCAAACACAATTTTTGGAGGCAAGAATAGTCACACGCAACATAAGATTTTATTAAAAGTTCAAGATTAGTGTTGCAAAAATCCTTTTTTCCACCCATTCATCTTTATATATCCCTCAAATCCTAGAACTATACCCAAAGCTTTCTTCCTTCCTCAATTCAGGTATGGACTCCAGAACTTTTTTTCACTCCTCTTCTTACCTTCCTGCATGTGTTCTTTCTTCCCATTACCTTTTCTCTCCCCTAGCTCTCTTTCTGGTTATTTCCATCTCTCAACTATTTTGACCCATTATCAGTAAAGGTTCTTTACTGATGGTTCTTAAATAATTCTTGCAAATAGGAGGAAGACATATTGCAAATACTCATACATGAATCACTTTTATCTTTGTTAAATAGGAGAAATGTGATTAGAGACTATAATCTGATAGTGGTCATAGGGATAGACAGGAGGGATGGATGTTAAAGTAATATTTGAAGCAAAATGAGGGAAATTGGGTGTGGAATGACAGAAATAAGATACTTGGGTGGGGGCAAGTGGAGCTTGTCTGGCAATACTCTCCATGTTTCTTTTGGACATGGGATCATTGCAGGGTACTTTTGACTAAGCCAGAGAATGTCACAGAAGAGTTAGAGGATACATAATGGGTTCAACTTTGTGAAGGTTTATTTTTAAATGTTTTAGGTTACCTAAGAGGAGCTCTCCAGAGACGGATGGAGAAATGAGGTTGCAACTTAGAAGAAAAATGGACTTGGAATTCATCATTTTCCAAACAGAGAATATGCTCAGAGTCCTGGGGGAAAATGTAAGATAAAGACTAAGATAGAAGACAGAGTTTCCAAAAGTTTAGAGCAGAGGAAAGGAGGAAAGTGAAGTCATTCAGTTGTGTTCGACTCTTTGCGACCCCATGGACTGTAGCCTACCAGGCTCCTCTGTCCATGGGACTTTCCAGGCCAGAATCCTGGAGTGGGTTGCCGTTTCCTTCTCTAGGAGATCTTCCTGACCCAGGGATTGAACCCAGGCTTCCTGCATTGTAGGCAGATGCTTAATCGTCTGAACCACCAGGGAAGTTGTTAGAGCGGGGAAGTAGATATAAAAGCAGGCGAGGGAGGAAAATGCTTCATGTTCAAAATGTCAGATATTACAGAAAAGTTGAGAACCACATGAGCTAAGAATTGGAAATAGTGGAAATAAGCTTAAGAATTGCCCAGTGCATTTGACCCCATTAAGAGACATTTCAGTGGAGACAGGGACTACAGGCTGATTACTATCAGGGCTATTAACTACTCTTTCAATACTTTTGTTTGTGAGGAAAGATATAGCTGAAATGAGACCAGAAGTATGCTGATGGGTTTTAGGTAATAGGGGCTATGTGGATGAGCAGCCCCTTTTCAAGAGGACAAAAAATAGAAGTCTCATCTTAAGGGTTAAGACACATTAGGTAGATTGAGGGACAGCTGGGTAAAGTGCTTGAATGAGAAGGAAATTTATTTACAGTAAAAAATGGGTTTCATGTGGCACTACAGGAAGAACTTAATTTGATTCTCCAACCATATCTGCTATGAACTATGCAGTAATGAGGAAAGAAGACTGTTTCTGCCCCCAAGAAACTAATGGTCCAGTTAAGATACTCATCTAGTCAACAAATATTTAATAAAAGCCAACAATGTGCTAAGAGACACTGTTTCAGGTCGTGAGTATACAGTGAAAGTGAAAGTGAAGTCGCTCAATTGTGTCCGACTCTTTGCGACCCCCGTGGACTGTAGCCTACCAGGCTCCTCCGTCCATGGGATTCTCCAGGCAAGAATACTGGAGTGGGTTGCCATTTCCTTCACCTGGGACTCTTCCCGACCCAGGGATCAAACCTGGGTCTCCGGCATTGCAGGCAGACACTTTAACCTCTGAGACACCAGGGAAGCCCTTATTTCAAGTCAAATTGCTAAATGGTGAATATGAGTTTACACTAAGGGCTACAAAACAAGGTCTAAGCCCTCAGATTGTATTCCACGAAAGGCAGACATGCAAAGAAAGAAATTCTTTAACCATTTACAGAGCTATAATAGCTGCCTTACCCCACAGAATTGAGAAGTTCCTCCATCTTTGCTTCTGTTACGCTCCCCTTAGGAAGCAAACATGGAGGGACTTGTCCATTCTATGGGGCAAGGCAGCTCAGAGGAGGCAGGTGGAGATTCTCCTTTGCCAAGAAGGGAATAATGATTGAGATGAGTCTTGAAAGAAGAGTGGGTATTCAGCGGATGAAAGCTGTAAGGAAAGTCAGGACAGGCAGAGGGCGCGATATGAGCGCGAGGGAGGGCTTTGACAGGACGACCGGGTGGGCATGGGAAGATGACTCATGGGAGAGGAACAAAGCGAAGGGTGAGGATTAGGATGTGAGAGCGCAGAGGGCCGCTGGAGCGTGCATTTTGGGCGGAGGCCAAGGATGGCAGGAATGAAAAGCTTTGTGGGATTAAGTGGCCCCAAGGTTCTGAAAGGCTCTGGCTTAGAGGGGTGTTCAGCCTGGCACAAAGAGAGTCATGACCGATGCTACTGTCAGCGCTCCGGCGCAGTCAGCAGGCTTGGTCAGGGCGCCAAAATGGAGGCCTCGGAAAAGCGCTCTGTGCCTCTGGTGAGCCTGGCTGGAAGGCTGGTGGTGAAGTGAGATCTCAGGTATGACGGGAGCACAGGGAAAGTGAAAGATTCCGCGGGGTCTCGTGGCTGCACAGTTACGTGGAGACATCGGGGCGGCCACCCCCCACACGTCCTCTGCCAGGCCACATCCCCGTGGGTGACGGAGTCTTATTTCCCTGAGGTCCAGTGCCTGTCCAAAATGAAGCGAGTCAGTATCAACAAGCCCTGGGGTCCTTTATAGCACCGAAATTCTAAGAATCTACTTGTGAGCAAAACTTCTTGAGATAAAGAAATGTGCTTCCTTGTTCTTTTTACTTTGGAATAAAAAGCAACTGTTTAGTAGAGAACTTAAAACACCTAGCAGATATACAATCAATATGTCATCAATTGACTCATTTCATACCGGCAGGAATTTTTTATTCTTCATATTACAAGGTAAAGATTTGTTATAAGTAAGCTCCAGGTGCAAATAATACAAACATATTTGCATTAGCATTTTTTTTCTAGTTATGGTTTGGTATTTAGTTGCCAGCTGTGTCCGACTCTTCTGTGACCCCATGGATTGGGGTTTTCCAGGCAAGAATACTGGAAAGAGTGGCCATTGCCTTTGTCCAGGGGATCTCCCCAACTCAGGGATCAAACCCAAGTCTCCTGTATTGGTAGGCCTGATGCATGTGGTTCCAACCTTTCACTCTTTCTGATTTTTAATCTGATAAATCAGCATGTAGATTATCCTGGACCCAAAAATGTGAGTCTTGAAAGCAGGAGGGCTGGCGACAAACATTTTCCTAAAGCTCTTCAAATTTAAGAATATTTAATTTATCATTATTGTGTTCAAATAAATATTAGAGTATCATCATAAAACTTAGGAGATGATAAAATATCAGGTAAACTGAATCATTTTAATTTATCTCCATGTGTACTCCAAATCTTTTGAGTTTTGGAGGGATGTCATTTTCTCATCTTTCTCAAAATTTTTAGTCAATTTGTTCCTTCTATCCTTCCCCTATTCCTTTGACCTGATGCGATTCCCCTTTTATTAATGTTTACCCTCCTTCCTATCCAAGTCTGATGTGATTTTGCTTATATGCTTTTCATTCCTTTGTGGATAATACCCGTAGTGACCAAAAATGAACTCAAATCCTAACTCACAGAGGCCCCCTGGACACTTCTCTTATGGAAAACTCAGCTGCTGCTCCTTGATTGCCCTGCCATTTGTCATTATCCTTTGTTTACAGTCTCTGAGCCAGTTTTCAATCCATGCAACAGCACTTCTGTCCAAATCAATTTGTATTAATTTTTCAAGTCAGAGTTTGCAAGGCACGGCAGCCAATGGATTCCGGAGGTCCAGGCATATTGCATGTTCCCTTCATCCAGTGATTTTTTTGTAATTAGATTTTTTCATTTAAGTGGGGGTGGGGAGGAGATCGAGTTTCTGAGGCATGATCTTCCGACGCTGTCTCATCGCCTAGTGAAAATTCATGTGTGCAGGTATTGACGCCGGCGCGAGTTTAATACGGATGATAAAGTAGAGGATTTTTTAAAAAATGGAACTGAAATGCCAGCTGCTCCTCACATTCTTTGCACCATATTGTCTAATGAAGCGGCCCCTTTTTCAGCAGCTCCAGCCAGGAATCTTTGAGTCATGTTTGATCCCCTTTTATCCTTTGATCAACATTTGATCCTTGGAAGGAAGCCAAATTCTGAGAGCGCACTGGACTCCCTCTGCTTGGCCCCGGATCGCTCTCTCCCTCCCGCGCTGTTATTAACGCTCCTGCAGCCCTAAACTTTTTTAACCAGCTGCACATCTGCAGTTCTTTGTTCCTTGGTCTGAGGCGGTCACTCGGCTGGTGCAAATTGTTTTCAAATCAGCTGGTCAAGTCGACCCCCTTGCAGTGGGCAAAGCCTCATTATTCAGGAGGTTTGTCTTCCTTAAGTTGTTTAGAAGCCTTGGGTCCTGTGTCTGTCATCTTCTGCATCTTGGCTGGGGAGCAAACGCAGCTTTCTGGAATTCACTGCCATTGTTCCAGGTCTTAAGATTTTTAGTCTCAATAAAAATCCAGCGGATTTTGTGTGTTGGTGGGCAGGGGCAGAGTTGTGGAGTTCTTGCCTATGCTGTTTTAGGAGTACTATCATTTTAATAGTTCTCAGAATCTTGTGCTATTTTAAAAACAAAACCAGTTTTAACCTAGCTCTTTAAATCCACCATTTACATTTTGCAAATCACCCGGATGCCAAACTCTCAAAAAGCCAAAAAAACCTCACTCACAATAAAGAATTATAAGTATTAGGTTTAGCACTTTGTCTGTATCTGAATGGGTCTCTCCTCCTCCAGTGAGAATAGTCACTGTTTTTTTTTTCATTTATTTTTATTAGTTGGAGGCTAATTACTTTACAATACACTACAATATTGTAGAGAATAGTCACTGGTTTTTAACTTTGCCTGTTTACACCATGCCTTGCTCCCATCTGACTGTCTGAACTTTATACTGTGCTGCTCAAATCTCTGCTCCCAAATGAATTTTATAATACTTGACCTTTTAATCTAGCAAATCAGGCCTTTCTGTAATCAAATTAAACTTTTCGTGGGATGAACCCAACTATCAAATGTCATCTTATCTTCAGCAGCAGAAGTTGAAATAGAAATATCAGACATGTAGACAAGAAAGAGTCAAAACAGATCATTAACACCAGACTAAATGCCTTTAGACTGTCTTACAATGACTTCATGCTTAGCTGTTGAAAATAAGCTGTCAAAAACTATGTTGCTGTCTGTTCAAGGAATATGAAATAATATACTAAATACATTTGCTTTGAAGACTGTCTGGAACAGCTTTGAAAAACATTAACAATTTTACATGGACATATGGATGCCGGAGTGGATGAAATAGATATTTTGGGGACAGAAAGCACTAAAGGTAGACTTGCTATATTATGCTCATTGGACTATCCCTTGCTAATAAAAGTTAATGGAAAATAAGAATAAACCAATTAAATATATGCAATGAAAACAAATAGTAGAAGATATGGCCCAAACTGCCATTAAATACTATGATTTATTTTAACTGCCTCTTACACACTCTACAATTCATTTACACTTACAATTAAAAATTCTTTCAAAGTATGTGAATAGTAAATAAGTGAAGTTTAGCCCTAATATTCAAACTTCAAAAATAAGTACTGTCTTACTCTGGTCTCACAAAGAAATTAAACAGATCTGATCAAACCAGCAAGAGACATGAATGACATTTGCTAGATTTTGTCACCTTTAGATGTTTTGTGAGGGTCTGTTTTCTGATTAATAAAACCACTGGGAATTTTTTTTTGGGGGGGGGATTATTTTTTTGCAGGGTGTTACACATACTATTCTCTGAGATCAGGAAGATGGTGATGCCCCTATGATTGGTAAAGGAAAGACATATTGTATGCAAAGCACCTATCATTGTTCCTGGTGCATAGTAGGTGCTCAATACTTGCCTTTCCCATTAAATAAACTATTCAATCAAATTGTGATAGGTACTGCTTCTAACATAGAACTACTGGTCTGACCTCTACAATTTAAAGTGTTTGCCAGGGTCTTCCTTGGCAGTCCAGTGGCTAAGACTCTGAGCTTCCACTGCAGAGGGCTCAGGTTCAATTCCTGGTCAGGGAACAAAGATCTTGCATGCCTCACAGTGTGGCCAAATAAAATAAAATAAATAATGATAATAATATACAGACTAAAAACATGCTCAGGAGAGAGCAGTGCATCTGAGTTTCCAGGGGGCATCTTATAGTTCATGCAACAAGGGAGTGAATTAAAAATGGGTGATGTCGAGAAGGTTTAGGGGGTTTTTGATCAAGAGTGTAACTAGTGCAATACCATGGAAATCAGAAGCAAGCACAAAACCGAGCCAAGTCTGCATGCTCTGTTGGAGTGAAAGACAGGTCGGGCCCTAGATTCTCTAACACAGATGCCAGCAGGAGTAAAGGCATCAGTGGTGGATGGGAGACCCTGATGGAGTATTTGAAGTTTTCCAAGTATATCCCTGGAACAAAAACGATCCTGGCT